TAGTGTCCCCTTCAGATATATCCCTATCCCCGATATTTTTGCCGTCCCAAATTCCCATATCGTATAATAATCTATTATTATCATACCTCGGTTATATCCCCTATTTACTGTTGCACAAATCTATCTCTAATTTACTATTATTATCATGAGAGTATTACTATTACTACTATTTTACCTGTAGAAATCATTGAAAATGAAATGAATATCGATGAAACGGATGATGCTATAAAAACAATCTAACTTTAGCTCTGAATAATCTGAAGCTTGCAGATCCCTCAGTAAATAAAACAGTGAATGAATACCTTGCAGTGGATAATGACTTAGTTAGTACTGAGTTACTTACAGAAGAAGATATATTCGAGGAATTTTGATAGCTGAAGGCCTTCTGCAGCAACACATTGAAGAAGACTCTAGCGACGAGGAGGAAATGATTATTTCAATGTGGACGGGAAGACAGGCACTTGATGTAGTTAAAAAATTCTTAGAACAAAGAGATTTTACAACAGAAAATGATGTAATGTAATATAATTCGATGCGATGTTTAGATGAATCTGTAGAAAAGGCTAAACGCCAAACTTCATTAACCGAATTTATTAACCAATAAAATTGCATGTTTTAGTTTTAAATGAATACCTCATTTATATCCCACCTCTTTTATATCCCTGAAAACTCCTTGTCCCAAAGTCGGGATATAAAAGAGGTATGGCTGTACCCTATAATTGGAATAAAGCATATGTCGATAGATCTTCCTGTGTAACCCAGGCTGCTTTTCTGGATACAGAAGTTTGCCACAGTATACGCAAGAGTTGATTATAGTGGTCATTGAATAATTGTAAACGTTTTCTGAAGTCGACGAGATGGTTTCCACACAAGAATGGTGGAAATAGTCCATTGTTGGTAAAAATTATCTGGGAGAGCTGTGAACTGAGTTAACGCGATAGAATTTAAAAACTGATTATTGGCGATTGGTTTGAGTCAAAATACAAATTTGGATATGAGACGAACAGTTGATATTGTGAGCGCAAAACATTTTGCGCAATGCATTGATCAATCGTCATTGTGAAGATGTAGTAATTGTTTACGAATTTTTCAGAATTGTTGGTCGAGCCCATTTTTGAACAATTGATATTGTATCGCTGGTTGGGGGTTGTTTACATGCACTAGACATTTAAATCTATTTAGCTTTTCGTTTTTCGGGAAAATGGGTGGCGTATAGGTGGGGCTTTTTTTCTGATTACCAAACACTTGGTTGAGATATCAGCGTAGATCATTTAAGTATTAGTGTTAGTGTTAGTACTGATCTGCGTAAGTTTACGTTTGTCCAATTAAAAGCGTTGGGAAAGGTCATATGATAAGAGCAGTCAGTTGGTGATGGGAAGCAAAGAATATAGAAAATTTGGGCTTTTCTTAAACAGTAAACCTAAGATCCTTGAACATGAAAAGACGGTACGAGAAATACAATGTATAGTAAATAAATAATTGTTCGGTCGGGAAGTTGG